ACAATGTTGTAGTGAGATTGTTGTTACAAGACCATTTCCTCTTTAAGTCATTGTGCTTAGGTTGAAGCCTTCTTTCTTATTTCCTCAGCTAGTCTTTCATTGTAGTAATTAAGGACCCTCTGACTCTTGTAAAGCTGCGAGCTTATTACATGAGTGGAATATTTGATGTCCTTCCTCGCCTATAATTATCTGTAGTTACTTACCTCTACGTCCTTGTACTTGTAGGGTTGCTTCTAAACTGATATTTTGACTGTCTTCCCAGTAAGACTCTCTTTTATTTCGGTAACACTCATACGGTACCTTTACTATCCCAACTCCTATCTGAATATTTCTCAAGGATCACAATGTCATACCTGCGAGACTGAATTCTCCATATTGGGGTTCACTATGTTTATCTTGCACGATCTGTTGATTTATCTGTATCCTCTTGTCTAGCCATAACTAGGATCTTCCTGAATAACCTACTAACTATTCATTGGCCCATTCTCATATAAACATTCCGTGTAATCTTTCTTGGGTTATTTCCTTTGCATTAACTTGTGTCTCACACTGGCCCCTTATTTATCAATAACATCTCGGGCAGAAACCCTTACTTCCTCTCCTTGACATCGTGCTTGCATAATGTTCTAGAATCATAGCATATCTGTAGGATTTGGGTAAGTGTAAGCTCACTCATTTTTCATTTTTATCGCATTCTTCCTTTACCATTCCATAAGTACTAGAACCATTTAATTCAGACTTAATGCCCCATCACTCCATGTTCCCCCCTTTAGGGGAGTACTAAGAGTTGGAGCTACGACGATTTACCTATAGATGTTTTACCTCTTCATCTTTGGAGTCTTTTCACATCATCCATGAACCTTACTTGCCTTGCGGTAATCCTTTTGTACCAAGGAAAACAAAATTCCTTACTCGTGAGGGTGACACTTAGTATAACATGAACATACAGTACCTTAAGCTTAACCATTGCTTGCTTTAGGGAAGCGTCTTCCTGAATGACCATTCTCTGAATTTCTCATGAATCTTCTTCTGTTGTCCATTCTATTATCGCCGGAATAAAATCCAAAATTCTCATGATGTCAACTATTATCAAATCGCTCAGTCCCTAATTCATGTTTAGTTTATCTTGTTCACCAGCCTATACTGATTTCTATTATTCTGGGGTCTAACTTTTCCTTCTGGTAGTCGCGTTGGAGTCACTAACTTGTTTCTCAAAATTAGGATATGACTTTATGGCCTATACTCTTTTGTTGTCTCAAGGCCTGTCACCTCTCGTCTTTTCCTTCACTTGACTATAGACTCTGTAATACTATCATCATTTTGATCTACCGTTGTCATCCATGTATCACATCTTACTCATAATGCTTCATTAATTCCCTTCTTATTTTTCGCTAACATTTATGTCTATCACTTTATTTTGAAAACTCGAACAAGACATTCTTTTGATTTTAGCTCCCCTTGCTCTATCTACTGGCTCTTCGGGTTTCCTAACATTCTTTCTCTACTAGGGATGGGAGTCACACTAAGATAATATTTAACCATTCCAGGCTTCCAGTGCCTATCTTTGTAGTACTCATATCTAGTTGTACTATTTTAGAGTGCACCATCTGGGTGTCTCACAAGGAGATCTATTAGCATATTTGCAATATCCTTCGGAAATATCAGCTAACGCTAACAATCCATCCACCATTTTGGGTTACCCTAACCCCATCTAAATCCTGATATCCTGCCTTCTCTTATACTACTTTTGTTGGCCCCCATAGAGCATAAATGAGATGAGTGTGGCCAATTGTACATACCTCAGTTTTTGTTGAAGGTAACTCAAAAGGCTTATATTCTTCTACGATAATCTTCATTAGCTGGGTAGCTCGTACCCTTTTTTCATCTTGCTTTTTTTACTTGCTGAAACTTGTATATACCTTTCGATTCTCTTATTCCTTTTTACCGTAAGAGTGGATAGACATTCTTTCCTTAGGGACCCTTATCAAGAAGTTTACACATCTTAGTACACACATGATCTGCTAAATACCTCATATTTATCCATCATAAGCATGATCCAAAAATTGAGTTCCTCTGACTCAACTTTTCCACAGCTATATCCCTTACCAACCTTCTTTCTGGATGTAGGCATCATCGTATTATGAATAGGATAGAGTTTAAGAAAATAAGTTCATACAACTGAGCTCTACCACACAATCTAGAGTAAGAAGAAAGAGTGACAGTCCTAAATGACCTGTAGCCTCCTGCTTATAAGTGTGGTGCACAACACACCCATAAATAAGACTCTACTTGACACAGCTTGTAGACTCCCTAGGATAGAACTGCTCTGATACCACTTTTGTCACGACCCAAACCAATGGGCGGCGACAGGCACCCGATGCCTTACTCAACCGAGTACCAATGTAACGTATATTTCGTATGATGACCCAACATGATATAGAAATTTATGCACGTGACATACGGGCCTATAAGGCCAACATGATCATTTGTAAACTCAAAACATAGGCCGACAAGGCCATACAAGTATCCGTATACATGACATCTATCTACAAGCCTCTAAGAGTACATAAATATCATAAAGGTCGGGACTGAGCCCCGCTATACCAATCAATACATGTCCTAATTATACTGACAAAATAAGCAACTCCGGAGCAAGTGGAGTGCACCAATATCTTCCGCTGAGCTGATAGCCTACTTAGAGGACTCTCGACCTGTCTATCGGGACCTGCGGGCATGAAACGCAGCGTCCCTAGGCAAAAGGGACGTCAGTACAAATAATGTACCGAGTATGTAAGGCATGTAGATCAATACATAAGACACATAAATGAAACATGGAATAAAGAATTTCGTCTGTAAGTCTAAATAACTTTATAAATTCTGAAACATTTATAATGTCATGCACGTGCGTATAAATGTCATATTATGCATAGGTATAGGTGTATATAACATCATCAAGCCTCTGAGGGCATCCCATCATATCATCTCGGCCACTGTGGACAAAATATCAACACATACCAGCTGATCAGATGGTGGTGCGTATATAACGCTGTAACTTTTTCCCATATCCCATATACATATATCTACATATATACGCGTGTATAATGCCATCTGGTCATGGGTCAATGTGCATGTATAAATGAATGCAATGCATGAGAAGTACGTCAATAAAATCTTTCGGAACGTCATAAGACCATTATGCCTCAAATTAATATCATGAAATAAATTTTATCAACTTACGTATTTTCTGAGACCCATGAACAGACGATAGAATAATAAGACATATGGGAATTCAAGAATATAGGCACCTCTAATACTTCTATGAATATAGTCATTTATGAAAGTTTCGTTTTTTGCTCGTTTCATTTATATCATTTGGATCATGCCAAAAGAAAGAAGGGATAGCCTTAACATACCTGAGCCGATTCTCTTGACAATCCCTCTAACACATGTCAATTGCGACAACACGTAACGACGGATCAAAGTAGGGGAAATTCCGTATGATATTCTTGAGAAGGATTGTACCGTACTCCCTTAGAATCATAAAATCTCGTTGCTATTAAGCAGTATAATTTCGTATGAAATTTTGCTTAAGACCGTTACCTTGCTGAATATGACCATCTTTAATTTGTGATTTAAGAGAAGCCTCACGTTACCATTGAAAATTTGAGCTAATCACGTTACCTTGCAAATTTTGTATGAATCTCTCTTAAATGAATTAGAGATCTTATAGCTTAGTGGGTGTGGGGCCCACTAAGGTAATGACTAAGCCTTCAAAATGACACCTTATCAAGTGACTTTAAGTGTCATCAATTGGCAAGGTTTGCTGCCACGTTTGGGCTTCAAGAATTTTATCCAAATGTCTTAGTTAATTACCAATTTCTTAATTAACTAGATAATTCCCCACTAATTCAATCATTAACCACTTACCCACGTAATTTATGAATTATCTCAAATTACTTAAAATACTACTCACTTTTAACACACCTTATACACCTTACTATTATGGTCATGTGGTACCTTGTAGGGTACAAGTCCATAAATATCGGGTATTATAGCTCATACCGTATTTTGTCCCAAAATGCCAAACTTTGACGAAATTTATTTATTTCGATTTGCTTACCCTCTCACCTTCAATAATTTATTCATCACTTGTTTGAAATAGCATAAAGCTTATAATCTCAAAATAATCTCATTCCCGAACTTACGTCGATTAACTTACGACGAAACTTTAACGTATGAAAATGCGGGATGTAATATCTTATTTTCTGAGCTTCCATCAATTTACTTATGGCATACTTTTACGTACGGAAATATGGGGTGTAACAATAAGACCTTTGGTGCTAGATGCTGAGCCAGAACCTTGATGGAGGCCTACGAGAAGGCAAAATTGCATGAACAATCTTTTAATACCTTGTACAAGTAGTTGCATTCAAAACCCCATCCCAGAATCACCTACCACACACAAAAACCTCCTCTGGCCATCACCTATCCCTGAAACCCTCCAGTTGTGCAGAAAAAAACCAGTAACCAAAAGCCCCATATCCTTGGAAACATTGAGAGAAAAGAACCTATGTTTCAAATGCTATGATAAATGGCATCATGAGCATCAATGCCAAAACAAGACCCTTAATACAAAGGAAGGAGAAGAATTTGTTAATGCAGTTGATAAAATTTAGGAAATGGAAGTGGTGGCAGGGGAAGAAGAACCCGAGCAAGGTTTGGTGACTCTTAACGTTATGTTGGGTCATGGTGACAGCACAACCATAATAAGGATAGTGGGTTGGGTTATGGATTCAAGGTGACAGTATTGATCGATTTAGGGTCCACTCATAGTTTTGTGGACCCTCGAGTAGCTAAAATTGGGATGATGGTCAGAGTAGCAAGTGGGCATCTCTTACCATGTAGGCAGGTGTGCAAGAATTTCCATTGGGAAATACAACAGTTGTCTTTTAACTTTGATTTATGAGTACTAAGAGCTGGTGGTTGTGATATTATATTAGGGATGGATTGGATTGATTCAGTTACTCCAATACTACTACATACCAAGCCTAAAAGCATCACATTCAAATACGGGTTGGAGATGGTAACACTATTGGGTGATGTGAACGAAGGAAGACTTTCCAATGTATATACAAAGGCCATTTTTAAAGTAGTTTATAAGGGCCAATGCAATTTTGTGGCCCAATAGTTTCTGGTGGAGGCCAAGGAGGCCCAAGAAGAGGTTACTCATGAGGTTCTGGAATTATTAGGCCAGTACAAGGAAGTATTCCAAGAGCCTAGGGGATTACCACCGAGTCAGGATTGTGATCACGCAATCGAACTACTGCCTGGAGCCAAGCTTATTAACCTTAGGCCATACCGATATTCATTTGAGCAGAAAAATGTCATTGAAGAAATAATTGCAAATATACTAAAGGCACAAACTGTTACAAAAAGTGTATCTCATGTTGCTTCACCAGTGTTACTGGTAAAGAAAAAGGACTCAAGCTGACCAAATCCATCAAGGTATTGAGAGGCTTTTTGGGCCTTATAGAAGATTCATTAAGGACTTTGCTACAATAAGCAGGCCCTTGTCCAACCTCCTTAAAAAAGCTAATTTCCATTGGACCCTTGAGGCTACTCAAGCCTTTGAGGAATTGAAACAAGCAATGGTTCAAGATCCAGTCCCAGCCCTTCCCAATTTTGCAATTCCCTTTGTTGTAGAAGTAGATACAAGTGGTAAGGGAGTAGGGGCAGTACTTATGTAGAATGGTCACCCAATTGCATTTATCAGTCAGGCCTTAAGCTCAAGACATCTGGGACTATCCACTTATGAAAAGGAGCTAATTGCCTTACTACATGTTGTGGAGAAATGGAGACACTATCTCCAACCGAATCATTTCGTCATCAAAACAAACCATTTCAGCCTTAAGTTCCTAAAATATTAACAAATTATGACCTCCTATAGCATAAAGGAGTAACTAAATTGTTAGGCCTCAATTACAAAATTCAGTATCGCAAAGGAACTGAGAACATAGCTGCAGATGCTTTGTCTTGAAGATTTGAGGATGAATATTACTATGGGATTTCAACAGTTTAGCCCAAGTGGGCCAAGGAAATTATGGCTAGCTATATTGACGATAAAGATGCCCAGAAGTTGATTTATCAAATGAGTTTGGATCCAGCAGCATTTGTAGAGTTACAACTTCAAGATGGAATTCTTAGACATAATGGGAAAGTATGGGTGGGGAGTCATGGTTCCATCAGACAAAAATTAATATCAGAAATGCATTCTTCTACTGGCCGAGCTTATTACACGATATCAAGAACCAGCTCAAAGAATGCGAAGTTTGTCAAAGAAACAAAGGAGAAAATATTGCTTATCCGGGTCTTCTACAGCCTCTGCCCATACATCTCATGCATGGTAGGATTTAGCCATGGATTTCATCAGTAGGTTGCCAAAATCACAGGGTAGAGACTTTATCCTAGTGGTGATTGACCGTTATACTAAATTTGCCCATTTCTTTGCCCTGACACTGTAACGACCGACTGGTTGTTTTGAGTATTATAACCCTGTTCCCCCATTTACTGCTCAATTTATACTTTATAGTTATTTTATGACTTACCGAGTTAGTGGGTTCGGGTCCGTAAGGAATTCAGAGTGAAATGAGACACGTAGTCTCATAATTGAAAATTTAAGTTAGAAAAGTAGACCGGATATGGACCTATATGTAAATTACCTCGGATTTGAATTTTGATGATTCTAATATATATTATTTGGAGGTCCGTCGAGGAATTATGCTTGAAATGCCGAAAGTTAAATTTTTGGAAAGTTTAACCGGGGGTTGACTTTTTGATATCGGGGTCAAAATCCAATCCTGAAAATTTGAATACCTCCGTTATGTCATTTATGACTTGTGTGCCAAATTTGAGATCAATCGGACGTGAATTGATAGGTTCCGAAGTCGTTTGTAGAAGCTAGAAATTTCAAAGTTCATTAGGCTTGAATTGGGGTGTAATTCATGGTTTTAGCATTGTTTGAGGCGATTTGAGGGTTCGACTAAGTCCGTATGATGTTTTAGGACTTGTTGATATATTTGGTTGAGGTCCCGAGAGGTTCGGGAGAGTTTTGGATGGTTAACGGATCATTTTTTGCCTTGGTGAGATTGCTGATATCTGCTGCTGCATTTTTCTGATTTTCTCTTTCGCGTTCACGAGTTGTGAGGGCTGGGAGCCCAGTGAGTGATTGTTATCCTCAGAGGTTGTACTTGTTTTTCATTTGTTGTTGCACTTAGTTGCTATCTATCATTGTTGTGAAATCTCTGAAGGATTTTTATATACTGATTACATGAACAAGAACTGTATAAAAATTGATTTGACATTAAACTTCCAGATTTGATAGCATGTCTATTCTTTGCTGGAAATACTAGAAAAGAACCATAACTGTGTAGCTCGTTACTATCTTCAATTCCTTATTTATTATTGCTACTTGCTGAGTTGGTTATACTCATACTACACCCTGCACTTCGTGTGCAGATCCAGGTGTTCCCGAACATAGCGGGTGTTGCTCCTTTCGCGCTGTTGATTTTTAGGAGATTTTAAGGTAGTTGTTGTGTTCTGCAAACCTTTTCTCTCCTTCTCTATCTCTTTGTTTACTATATTTGGTCTCAGACTATTATAGACCATATTTTTCAGACTTGTATTCATATTAGATGCTCATGTACTCAGTGACACCAGGTTTTGGGAAGTGTTCGTATCAGTATTTGTGGGATTATGTATTGTATTTAAAATATTACATTTTCAAACTTAAACGAATTTGTGGTTCATTGAGATTTTCGGCTTGCCTAGTATTGAAATAGGCGCCATCACGACAGGTTAGAATTTGGGGTCGTGACAGACACACTGCTACTCAACAAACCAAATTGCCCAATTATTTTTGGATAACGTGTGCAAACTTCATGGAATGCCTAGCTCAATAGTTTCTGATCATGACCCCATCTTCATTAGCACTTTTTAGAAAGAGCTGCACAAAGGATTACATGTTCAGTTGAAACCAAGTATATCGTATCATCCCCAAACCAACGGACAGTCCAAAAGATTGAATAGACATTTGGAGACGTACCTCCGCTGTATCTCGGGACACAAGAACTCAGATTGGAGCAAATAGATAGCATTGGTATAGTTTTGGTATAACTCCAACTATCACTCAGCTATCGGGATGACCCCTTTCAAGGACGTGTACAGGTATGACCCTCCCCAATCCACATTTGAGTTCATTGCTCAGACAAAATTGGAGTCGGTAGATGTGATTCTGTGGGAACAACAACTGATGGCAAAGATTCTACACGATAATTTAACCAAAGCACAAACAAGGATTAAGGTGCATGCCGATGGGAAGAGAAAAGAGAGGAACTTTGAGGCAAGGAATTTGGTGTTCTTGAAACTACATCCGTATCGACAGTCATCGATTGCAGTCTGAAGGAATTTGAAGCTATTTGCTCGTTATTTCAGACCCTATGAGGTGATTCAAAAGATTGGACCAGTCGCGTACAAACTCTGCTTGCCAGAGGGATCAAAAATATACCTTGTTTTCCATGTTTCTCAACTGAAGAAGAAAATCGAAGAAAACGTATTTTCCACTCAAGATCCTCCTTATTGCACAGCAGATGGTCAGATATTGACATAACCCTTGAAAATTTTGGACCGGCATATGGTGAAGAAGCATAATAGAGTTGTGACCAAAGTATTGGTGCAATGAGCAAACTTAGCTCATGAAGAAACAACATGGGAAGAATACTCGTTCTTGAGAAATCAATTTCCAGACTTTGAACCTTGATTTACATCAAGATTCTCAAGGGGGATGGAGTGTAATGATGGCTGAAGAAAGGAGTTCATTAGTGTATTGTTGCTCAGGTTGTTTTGGCCCAAGTCTTTAAGTCCACAAAGGCCCACGTTCAGTGGAGGCCCAGTAGAGTAGCTGAGTCCAGTAGTGTGAATTTACAGAATTTTCATAGGATTCTAAATAGATTCTAGAAGGAGGAAATGTGTTGTCCTTCGAGTTGGTTTGTTAGGGTCCTTAGATGTCACTGTTCTGTTTCCTTTTTTTAGGTTCCTTCTTTTGTTTCCTTGTTAACTTGGTAGCAGTCAAGCTGCTACACTTTGCTGCTGGTAAATTTAAATCCAAAAATAATGTTAAAGAAATAAAACTTAACATGATGAAAGATCTTTAACAAGTTCAATATCTAGTAGAAACTAGATTGAGTGGTTTTCGCCCTTTTTCAATAAATTTTGTTAGGTGAACCCAAGTCGATATGCTCAAATATAGAGTTAACGATTAGAGGATGTTGTGGTTATTTGGAAAACTTCTTTTTGGGTGACATCAAGATTTAATATTGAGTTCTCATATTGATATGAGTTTTAAAGTTTGTTCCGAACGGGAGATTTGATATTCGCTTCAACAAATCTACAGTGAACTTCGCCTGAAGGGACAGGTAAGAGACTGGTCCAAACGAATAATCTAAATGTTTTTGTATCATTATAACTTCAATAAAATTGCTCAGGCTAAAGTGACTGAAATCATCCCCAGTCTTTTAAAAAGATTCTTGGGACTCGCTTCGGGGCTCGCCTCGGACTGGGGCACTATCAAACGTCTTAAGGCACTACAACACAAGGGCGGATTAATAGGCTTAATTATGGGGTACGTGAACCCATGATATTTCCGTAAAATTAGATATTTTATGTACATATTTTTTAAAATTAGTTTAATATTAACTGTTGGCACCCATGTTCCAAAAAGGTTGAATGGTGCACTTGGTTGAAGGCTGAATTATTTACCAAGAGGTATGGGGATCAATTCCCACTAGATACATTTGTGTCCTATTTTTTTAGTAGTGCATCCATGCACTAGAAATCCTATATCCACCTATGCTACAACATAACATATCTAGCTACAAAATCTCGGCTACGAATTTAAAAACATGGCTAGTTGTCACGACCCAATTTCTCCTATAGGTCGTGATGGCGCCCAACGTCGCCGCTAGGCAAGCCAACGGTGAACTAGCCATGTGTTTATTATTTTTAACAAATTCAAAATATTTGTTTTTTATTTATTAAGTAAGTAAGAGGTGAAAGATTTAATAAAATAAAGCATAGACAAATATAAGAACAAGTGTGGTGAAATTAATTCTCAAAAACCATTGAATGTCTACTAGCATATTTTCCAAGACCTGAAGTCACAAGTGTATGAGCTACTAATAGAATATACAAAATACTAAACTACTATCTGAAATAGAGTAGCTAGAAAATAAATGCAAAAGAGAGACTCCGAGTGCTGCAGAACGGACTCGAAAAGCAGCTCACCACTAAGTCTCGAAGTATCAGGGGTGCGCACCGGGATGTCTACCAGATGCACCTTCCTCAGATCCTGCACGGTTAGTGCAGAAGTGTAGCGTGAGTACATAAATAACATGTACCCATTAAGTATCAAGTCTAACCTCGAAGAAGTAGTGACGAGCGGTCGATATCGACACTTACTATGGGCCAAGAATTATAAACATATATGGAACATGGAAATAATAATAATAATAATAATAATAATAATAATAATAATAATAATAATAATAATAATAATAATAATAATATTAATAATAATAATAATAACACCAAAACAAGCAGTGAATAAATGGTTCCTTAACTGATGATAAAATCCCAAGAATTTCTCTGGCCAACACCTATTAACCCCAATTCAACTTTTGTCATTAAACAAATTATAACCTCACAAGCCATGAAATAATTATAAATGTAATAAGATTCCGAGTATTATCACGCACGATTTATGCTGAGGTCGTACAGCCCGATCCAAAAATATATTATGTGCACTGCCGAGATTCGAACGGTACAAATCATAGATGCGTCTTTAAACCTGCCGAGGAGAACGACCCGCTCCCATGAGAGTAGAGAAGTTTACCTCGCTCGCAGAAGTACTTGCGACGCGAGTGGACATGTATTTCTCAGAGTTATTATATATTCCTCAATTCTTCCCAAAAATATGAAATCTAA